GGGGGGATAGGGAGCAAGGGAGGAAGAGGATAAGAAGGAGACGAAGAAAAAGAGGAGAGAGAAGGAAGAGGAGAAAAAAGAAGCGAAGGAAAGGAAGAAGAAGAGGAGAGTCGAGGAGAATGAGAAAAGAAATGGACGGGTAAGGAGAGAGATCGGAGAAGAGGAGGAAGGAAGGAAGAAGAAGCGGACAAAGGTGGAGGGAGTGGATGGAGGAGAGAGAGAGAGGGGAGGAGAGATAGAAGATGAAGAGACGAAGGAAGAGAAGAAGGAGGGAAGAGGAAGGAAGTAGCGGAGAGAAAGACGGAAGGAGAAGAAGAAAGAGAAGAGAGAAGGAAGAGGAGAAAGAAGAAGCGAAGGAGAAGGAAGAGGAAGAGAAGAGTCGAGGAGAATGAGGAAAGAAATGGACGGGTAAGGAGAGAAATCGGCGAAGAAGAGGATGGAAGGAAGAAGGAGCGGACAAAGGTGGATGGAGTGGATGGAGGAGAGAGAGACAGGGGAGGAGAGATGGAGGATGGAGAGACGGGGAAGGAAGAGAGGAGTGAGGAGAAGAGGAAGGAAGTAGCGGGGAGTAAGAAGGAGGGAGGAGACGAGGAGAGCGGAGAGGAAGAGGAGAATGGACAGGGGGTGGAGGGGGGAGGGGGAGGAGTGAAGGAGAAGCTAGTGGTTAAAAGGATAGTAATTTTGAATTCTGATTTTAATTTTGATTTTGATTGTAGGAAGGAGAAAGGAGAGAGGGCTGAAGAGGAGAGGAAGAAAGAGAGAAGGGTGGCACAGGAGGGAGGAGCAGTAAGAGTGGCTGACAGGTAGAGACAGGACAGGGAGGAGAGAGAGCAGAAAATCAGAACGGCGATAAGAGACTGGCTAAGGAGAGAGACCGAGGAAGGAGAAAAGAGAGGGAAGCGGAAGGAAGGAGGAGGAAAGAGAGAGAAGACGGACCGGTGGACGGGAGGAGACAGGAAGGAAAGGCAGGACGGAGAGGGAGAAGGCGGACGGCGGAAACAGGAAACGGAGGGACGAGGGAAGGAATGTGTGATGGAAGAAATGGAGGGAGGTGTAGAGGGAGGGCCGAAAGGGTGGGGGGTAAGAGATTGTAAAGGTCGCATACGGCCAGGTCGCGAGGAGTTGGGGGAAATGAACTGGAAAGGGTTCGGGAACGCTCCCTGAAAAAGCGCCAATATATTGGTGAGATGGACATGTAGAGAGAGGACCAGGAGAGTCGAGAGGTTTGGGAACGTTCCTTAAAAACGCCTTGTAACCCTAAGGGGATTCAATAAATCTATACATACATTGCTACAAAATAATATAAATGAACAGAACATGAAAAAGAACGTAACTTTATATAAATCTCATATTTTATGCAAATTTATACAAAACATAAACTTTATACGAACTTAACTTCATATAAATATATATGCAACATAAACTCAATCTCTTTGTAAATTAACAAAACTTAAAACAGTAAGCTAACCTTATTATAAACTTAATTTTAGCGTAATACTGACCTAAAAATTAAATATTAATTTGTACTAAACTTTATAGTATGTACTCGTATAAACTTTACATACTAATACACTTCAACACTGTTTTGTGCATTGAATTATCACGTCTGGAATTGTACTGAGATCAAAATTAAATAAACACTAAAATAACACTAGAATTACGTCAATAAATCCTGAAAAACAATAATAAAATAAAACTTAATTCTTGTTGTCGAAATTCTGAATGATAGTTAATATCTCAATAAGGCACGATATTCTCTGTTGTACACAGATTCGCTGGAGTAATGCTCTAATAATCCGCATGAAGCTTTCCACCTCCGAGTCTACGTTGGGTGCTTTTTCTTCCTGCTGAGCAGTTAGAACTGATGGTTGAGCAATCATCTGCTGACTAATAGTGACTAATGCTCCCGCCAGTTTATCCAAATTATTCATATCGCTATCATTTTTCATTTTTTTCTTACGAAAGAAATTATCTGGAGATGGTGCCCTAAGGATTGGTCTTTTTGTGGGATTTTCGTGGGAGACATAACTGTCAACACTTGACTCACAATCAGTATCGCTCTCTGAAACACAATATTCCATAAATTAATGCTGACAAACACCTTAGCATGTGAATGCCCAGTAGACACCAAGTAACAGTTACATAACATCAATATTATAATTTCCTACTCAACAATATAAATGTAATATAACATACGTTGTACATTACAGTTATATTGTTGAATAGGAAATTATAACATTAATGTTATGTAACTGTAACTTGATGTTCACTGAGTATATGTAGCCATTTAATACCTGCAATGTTGTCGTATAGAACTTGATTCCATTTTTGCGAATTACATTCTTTAAAACCACCAATCTGATTCATGTCACCGGGTGTCTTATTCCGTTGCAACTGATTGTAAGTGTTATAAGTGGAACTGGAATGCACTTGTGGCGTTGGACTATTATTTGTAGAATTTGAACTGCAGCTGGATTCTGATTGTTGTGACAGACTATTGTTAGATGTAACACCTACTGCATTACGATTGTTATTCAAACTTTTTCTTGGCTTCAATATACTCACTGGCTTAGCAAATGTATTTGACTTTGTTCTGAAAATGACAAAGGTTTATAATAGTTTAAGGTGACTGTTTCAAATTTTTTAATTAGTGCAACTTAAATATATGTACTGGCGTGGTTTTATAACATCACACAAAAAAGTAGCTCATCATAGAGCGGCCAAGTCGGCTGGTAAATGGGCCAGTCTGATCCAGCACCCGATCTAGGTTGAGATTGCTTTACTTTTTTAAAGTGGCGACTAAACATAGTCCGCAGTGTGCGGAATCTTTTCGCTGCAGCAGTCCCTAAATAAATTTATACTGTTTATTATCACTAAAATTAATTTTCAGCATTAAAAATAACAATTTAAGTTGTAAAATTTATATACAAAATTGTTATACTTACCAGTCATTTCATTTGGCAAAAGTGATGCTACGGTATCCCAAGCCATATTTTTATCTATAGCATTACTGTACATCTTTGAACTTTTGTTCCAAAGCCCTGGATTATGTTTTACTAGCCGTATTAATTCAATATCAGTTTCAACCACATCTTCAGATGGAACACTTGCGTCCAAAGAATCATCATCCCAGTCTATTTCACTCATTTTAATATATTTTCTAACCTATCAAGAAACACGACACGAGAAACGATCGAGCTAACGACCAAGCCAAACAGACACCATGACAGTGAAGCTCGATAGTCATTGGCTGTCGCAAATCGCAGAGACGCAAATTTTGGATTTGGTCAAACCTTGCGATTGGCGTTTGCGACTGCATTACGATCGGAAGTAGCGCTGCTTGCGTTCATGCGATTGGTTACTTGCGACTAATGTAGAACGACCTTAACGGGACTCAAAATGGCGACGGATGAATCCGTCGTAAAGCAAGGCCTCGGCTAAATGAGATGAGCCGAATCCCAAGCCAACTAACCTCATCGGTCCTTCTAGCGCTTGCTCTATGAAAAAGCAAGCTCGCAGTATCTCTCAGCGCGTAATAAAGCACCTCTCGCAGAAAATCAGGGGAAAAAGGATTTCACAATCCTATGGGCACGTCCTCTCGGTCGATGAGATCGGGCCCAAGGAGGAAGTCGACGAACTTTCCATCAGGCGCCTCGCAGCCTGACTCTCCTCTCACTGCGCATGATCGCGACAAGCGCCCATTTCGTGCAACGAACCGGTCACCCGTAGCGCCCTCATTCGTGCGTTAGCGGGATGGCGCGAACGGTGTAAGTTCACGGGATCGAAATACATTATTCTTTTTTATACAATGTTCGAAAATAAAAGATTTGTTCCTTCGAAGCTTCGATCCTTCGAAGATTCCTTCGTTCCTTCGAAGTCTTTCGAAGCTTCCCGCACAGAACAAAAACCTCCAATAGATGTTCAATAGACGTCCACCATGGAGATGCAAAACCTCCATTAGACGTCCACGTAAAATCTTACGGATCTCTAATAGACATCCACAGTTCCGCATTTGCTACTTCCATTGGACATCCATTAGCATACTCATAGATGTCATATGGATGTAATAAAGAGTAATTATAGATATTTAAGAAAACTGATTAAATATATAATCTATACTCTTTTAATCTGTTTGACTGCGCTATGTTTTAATATGTTCTGTCTTTTTATTTATTATAATCTTACCGGACCGACTGCGTATATGTTGTTTTAAATTTTAATTTGTATTCCTAGTTTAATAATGTTCTAAATTGTGTTCTTTTTTATTATACTGAAGATGGTCCAATAAGAATGGATACGTTTAATCGACCCTTTCTGGCTATTATATAATATATTTAATAAAATTACAAGATGTAATGTGCGACGTTTCGACCCCCGGTTTCGGGGTCGACCCATTATCCCCCATATTAGCAGACATAGTTTTAGACGATTTAGAGTCCACCTGTCTGAACGCGTTAGATATAGAAATTCCAGTTTTCTACAGATATGTGGACGACATTTTCACTATTGTGCCATCTGACAAAATCAATACCATTTTAGAAACCTTTAACAGCTACCACCCTAAACTTAAATTCACATACGAAATAGAAAAAAATAACACCATTAGCTTCTTAAACGTCAACATTAGTAGATGCAATAAACAATTAATTACGAACTGGTACAGAAAACCTACCTTTTCAGGCCGATATTTAAACTACTTCTCCAACCACCCCCGCCAATATAAAATCAACACGATCACAAGCCTAGTTGACCAAGCTATTTTATTATCCGACAATAGATTCCACGACGCACACCTAACAATAGTTAAGAACATCTTACTCAACAACTGTTTTCCAAACCATCTCATAGACAAACATATAAAAAAAAGACTTAAACAATTACAGCACGACACTAAAGACAATCCTAGCAAATTTGACATAAAAACATGCATTACCATACCGTACATAGAAGGCACGAGTGAAAAGATTAGTCAGACACTACGTAATATAGGTCTAAAACCAATACTCACAGTTCCAAAAAAACTGAACACAATAATAAAAAGGGGAAAGACCCATTATGCAAATCCAAGAGAACAGGAGTTGTCTACAGATAGCACTGCAACAACTGCAACGCATCTTACGTAGGCTAAACAAAAAGACATCTTGAGACCAGAGTCAAGGAACACTTCAATAATATAAAGAAAGACGAAAACAACCAATCTGTCATCAGCAAACATAGAACATCGCTCGGACATGATTTTAATTGGTCTTCCTCAGATATCCTACACAACGAAAGACATACGAGAAAACGAGAGATAGCTGAGATGTTACACATTAAAATGGACCCTAATACAATAAATTTAAAGAAGGACACAGAGAACCTTAACCCGATATACGATTCTATCATTTGTTCTTTAACTTGACATAACTTATTTATTTATTTATTTATCTCCCGTTTGCTCGTTGTCCGACCTAGACATTTTTAACTCCAGTGACAGTCACTCACCGACCATGATAGATATTGGACATAGTTTCTAACACCGTTTTATAACCATGACATGACACAATTAATAGTTAATCTTACAATCAAAAGTGAACCGTTTTTTAAAACTTGACTGTCCAATGACATAGGAATTTTAAGGTAAGCGACTGGTGCTAGGATACACCTACGTTATCCACATATCTTATTGTTCGCGAAATATGATATTTGTCTCCGCTTTATACATTAATTTTTATATTTTTATATTACTTTTATAATTTGTAAGGTTTTATGTTATACATTAATTTACTATATTACGTCTTACACAATATTCCATACAATTATGTCTTAATTTTTTAATTTTATATTTACAATCGCAAAGACACGTAATACAATTTTGTAACTCCAAACGTTTAATTTTAGAATTGTGCTTGAGAAGGACCCAAAACCGGGGGTCGAAACGTCGCACATTACATCTTATAATTTTATTAAATATATTATATAATAGCCAGAAAGGGTCGATTAAACGTATCCATTGTTGTTTATTACTGGCAACCTAAACAAATCTTCAAGTTTGAATGGTCCAATAAGGACCGAAACGTCTATATCCATTTGTGAGCCCTTTATTTCATTTATTTGAAATATATAATATTACATATTTTTAAATATACTTTCAATACATTTGAAAATTATAATTAACATTTATATTAAAATTAAATATTGTTTTGGTAAAAACGTGAACATGTATGTACAAATATATTTATCCATATATTGTCTGTCATAGGTATCCATTAGACATCAGTAGGGTATATAGGGGGATTGTAACCCATGGGGCCCCGA